GCACAGGCCGCGGGACGTTCCTGGGCTCAGCGAGCTGTGCGGAGCTGCAGTCAGGCTTTGCCGATGTTTATCTGGGCCTCTCGATGATGATTTTGTGGCCGTCTCTAAGCGGTCACCAGTACTTAGGAGGGGAATCACTTTTCGCGCCCTCGTATAGGGAAATGTAGCGTCTCGTGTGCCAGAGTTTCATACTGGTTGGGTGGGAGTGCTGTGAGGTCAGACTGGTGTGGGTGAGGAGAGCTCAAGGCTTCCCCCTGGGAGGGAAGCACGTCCTAGCGTGAAGACCTCCAGTAAAATAGCAAAGATGCAATTTAATCTTATAAGATAGTATTAATTATGAAAAACAACTTTATTAGTTGTTTCATTCATGAAACTCTTAGTTTCCCACTCGGTGAGTGGAACCTTCCCTATTCAGTGGCTCTGTGCTCAAGCATGCCCTGGAGGACTGAATAACATACTGGGATGGGGGTTTTTTTCCAACCAAATCTCTCTTGGAAATAATTCAGTATGATGAATGTCCTTTCATTTAGATCTATCACCTCTTGTGTCCATTTGCTTTTCGTCTTTAATTCTTAGTATTTATCCTCTGTAAATGCTGGCCAGGAGCAGTTTGGTACCTGTTCACATTTAATGCATTTATAGATTTGCCTTCTACTGCCTAGTTTCTCCAGCCTCTGACCTGCCTGTGTAGATTACAGGCTCTTGCAGGAGGCAGAAGTCTTCAGGTGTTAGCACTGCGTGAAGTTCACTGTTACCATTGGTATTAATGACTTTCATAGAATCATAGCATTTTAGGGGTTGGAATGGACCTTAAAGATCCCCTCCCGTGGGCAGAGACACCTCCCCACCAGACCAGCTTGCTCTAGGCTTCATCCAGCCTGGCTTTGAACACTGCCAGGGATGGAAACTTCCAAGCAGATTTTTGTGATTTGGGTTTTCCTCTGTTGGATCTGTAAGTGTGAATCCTGCTTGCCTTTGTTTGTTTGTCATTCATTCCTAAATAAGCAAATATTCCATTGCATTGTTACAACATTCTCTTCAGAATTAATTTCTGCTTTGCACTGAAATGAGATGTCCAAATTACTAATAGTATAATTATATAGTTTTTCTTCTGTGTGTGTTGTAAACATTTGTGCCCTTCTTATCTTTCACTTATTTTTCTTTGGTATCCAGGGACAATCAGACTAGACAAATACAAGATGCCGTTTCAAATGTGGAAAAACATTTTGGTGAACTGTGCCAAATATTTGCTGGATATGTGCGTAAAACTGCCAGACTACGAGACAAAGCAGATCTCCTAGTAAATGAAATATATGCATATGCAGCCACAGAGACACCAAACTTAAAAGTTGGACTGAAAAACTTTGCAGATGAATTTTCCAGACTTCAGGATTATCGCCAGGCAGAGGTACAGAATTAAAGCTGTACATGTTGTGTTTGCCATCTGAACTTTCCAGTTACTTATCTGTGATTAACTGGGGAAAGATATATTCTGCAATCACGAGAGAAACAGAGCAGAAAATACTTAAATATGTTAGTGTCTGAGCAGGGTAGGCTGCCAAAGCACTCAGCATTTCCCCTCCTAACAGCTTCAGTGGAAACTGCCTGCGATTAGTCCTGCTGCAGTCAGTGAAACTGTCCCTGTGAGCACTTACAGAATTTAGACAGAACAAGTTTTTTGTTGGTCTTAGATTATGATTTATGGTTAGTGAAGTGTTTGTTTTAGTTGTGTGACTTGTTGTCTAGCAGCAGCTGTGGTAAAATCAGTCATTTTCCTTCTTGCTGAGTCTTACCAGAAGAGGTATGGGAGAGAATACTGACTGGATCCTTCAGTGGACACTGACGGCCGCACTGAGGTGCTGGCAGGGACCGCTGTAGTTTTCCTAAGTTTGTTGTTCCACACTAAAAGTACAAACTTGATTTGGACCATGTGTGACTATATATAGCCACATTTTCTACTAGATGCGTGAGAGTATAAAGAAAGGTGTTTATGCTTCTTCCACATCTGTGTGGTGCCAGTCAAACTGTGACTGATGCAGAAATCCACATACTGAGATTTGAGGAAAAAATAAATTAATTCACATGTACTCAAACTAGTTTTTGAAGTATATGTCTCCTCTTTCAATAGAGAATAAAAAATTCCCATTTGTAGTTTTGAACAGCCAAGACACATTATAATTCCAAAAAGAGGCTGAAGTAGTTGACATTCTTGATGTTTTCAGATAGGACTTGTTTTTTCAAAGAGCATTGCAAGTCATCTCTTCATATTAACAAAGTAGAAAAAGAAAACCTTTTAAAAGAAGCTAATCTGTGAAGCAGAGCATTTGAAAAATAAGAAATATGTATAGATCTTTTAACAGTATATTTAGGGACAGATTTTTAAGAAGTAATAAAAAATCTAAGGGTATGCTCAATTTTTATTTATTTCCATAAGCTCAGACATCTCCAGCTGAGCCACATGTAGGTGCTTATGCTTCAATTGCTGTAATAGCAATTTATCCTTCTGCTAATAGGGTAAATTGTGGCCAAAGGTGTATGTGAACTCAGACTGCATGATCTTGCTCTCTGTCTTCACCTTTAAACTATGAATCTATAATTTTGATGTACATATGTAACAACTTGAGTTTTGCTTCTTTTGATCTTAAATATGTATTTAAAAACTGACATTTGGCCTACATCCTCCTACCACACCTGTCCCCAGACCACCACTGCCCTGGGAAGGAGAAAAGGCAGAAGCAGCAAAGGAAAAGAGAAGCTTTAAGCCTTTAAATCCAGATTTCCTCTGCTCATGAAAACCAAAAATACAATCTCAGCTTTGTTTCTTTTGGGCATCAGTTTACTTAACAGTTTTCCTGTATATTGACAATGTAGGCAGGAGAAAATTAGCTTATAAGGGTTGTCAGTTTCTGCAGTGCTAGATAGATAAATACTGAGGTGTGAGGTGCATCCACAGCAGGTCGAAGGGTAAGTAAGCAAGATGGGCATGTTATTTGGTATGTCTGTAACACGTGCTTCATTTAGAGCCTTACTGCCCCAATCCATTCTCTTCTTATTGGCAGTTGAGGTAAAGTCGTTCAAGTGCACTGGTAGAGGTGTATAAAGGAGAAATATTTGCTCAGTTGGCATAAATTTTGGCTGACTGGTGACTACCAGTTTAGAGGGAACGTCTGTCCCTTCCTAGTGGAGGTATGCACTATCCTAATCTGCATGTCATAGGGATGGGCCAGATGACTCCCTGGTCCAGAAGTCATTGGCAGCTTAAGCTGGAGCCACTTGGACAGCATTGTCAGATTTGACGAGCAGGTCTTAACCTATTGCCTGTCTGACCATATGTAGCTGTTTTTCTAACTGGAGAACTGAAACGAGAATTCAGATGCAGTCATCTGTGAGGGGATTTGTGCATTTTACACACACAGTTAGTTATTGGTGTTTTTAATGCATTCAGCACCAAGATGCTGTTTTCATTATGTATAAGAACAGAAGTGTTGCATTTTGTATAGTGTGTTTGATAGCAAAGGTGGATTACTCTGGAATCTCATCAGTAAGTGTAGAGCAAATACATCGATACATAACTTCAGGTAGAAAGCTACAGATCTCCAAGATGCAGTGTTTGATTATTTAGTACTTAGTTGTTAGAATTTCTGTGTTTCATTTATGCTGATGTATTTCTAATGAAGAAAAAAAGCAGTTCCACTAGAAATCAGCTAGAGCTTCTCAAAATATGCATCATTTGGTGGCTAATGTAATTGACTGTAGTTTTTGCAATATTTTTTAAAACTCTATCTCACTATTTTTTCAGCTTATATGGACTAAATTCCTAATGAGTCACTATTAAATTGTTTGTTTCCTATTCCTGCCCACCATAGACATGGATGATTTTAGTGACCCTGTGATTTCTTTTGTAGGTTGACAGACTTGAAGCCAAGGTTGTTGAACCTCTGAAATGTTACGGGACCATAGTGAAACTTAAAAGGGTATGTTAAACATCTCTTTTCTCACAAGGGACATTTTAGTGTTCTGGCTGCTTGGTTGAAAACTTCTGCTTCAGAGGGGAATGGCTCTGATTTTTCATACTGCAGTTATCAGTCTAACCAAATGATATAGTAATACATCTGGACTGAAGCTATTTATGTGTTGGAAGAAAAAGCTTTGATGTGATGACAAGGATATTTAGGCTCTTGGACTACAAACACGCCAAAAAAACCCATTGTGGATAGTATGAAACTTCTGGATAGTGTAAATTCAGGATGTTTTTATTTATAAATAATATCTATTATTATTGTTGTTGTGGATTATTGCTACTAATGATAATGTGTATTATTATTATTAATACTGTGTATTATTAATTATTATTATTCAGGGTTCCAAAAGGTGAATTACATGTAATGCTTTTCACTCAGAATTGCATTCCACATTGAAGTTCATAAGTTAGAAGACACTTTTTGAAACTGATAAATAGATCATGGCCTAAATCTCTCTGTCCTGTCATCATGATGACCTGAAGATACACAGGAATCTGAGGTCTCTTCATTCACTGTATTTTGGAAATAGTGTTTGTAGGGCTTTGGAATATTCCCATAAAATATCTGTGAGTTTCTTTCCTCGAGGAGCGATAAGCTTGAGCGAGTAAGTTTTAATAAGCAGATACTAGTTTATAGGATGAAAGTAGATCTTTGTAATACTTGGATATTACACACATGTAAAGTCGAATCTGTCATTGATGTATATGTCTGTATCATAATCAATATAAATCAAAAGATAAAATTATTATTATCTGATGGTATTTTACATACAAAAATCTTTGTGTTCATCATGGCTAATTTGAGCATGTTGTGGCATTGCATCTCAAACTAGCATTTTTTGTATGTTTTTGTTCTGTGTCTTTTCCATATGGTGAAGAACTGAGCACAGTGTTTGGGACTTACAGCAGAGCTACCTCACTTGGTGGTTAGAGAAATGGTTGTGAAGGAAATGCATCCTGCCCTTGAGTGGGACTACATCTGGCAGTCCTCAGCAGAGTTGTAGAGCCCCGAATTAGCTGTCTTTGATAGTACTGTGCAGCCCAGTTTGTGAGATCTAGAACTGACTGAGGATTCCATAGGACGTAAATCTTGAGGGTGGAAGACGAGTTTCATGTGTTCTGGCAGTCAGGTTGCTGAAAAGACACAGAGCACTACTGCAGTGCCAGAGGCTTCCAAAGCATTGAAGAACTGTCTTGAGGTTCACTGATAGACAGTAATGCTGAAGGCAGAAGCAACTGAAGCCAAGTCATTGCCTGCAACAGTGAATGGCATTTCCTGTTGTCTTTGCCTTTCAGAATGCCTGGAAGCATTGCTTAATGTTTATTTTAGCTACAGTCAGGAGTGTAAGAGCATTCTTAAACTGTTTGTACCTTTGAACTAAGAAAGCTCTCACCAAAGTTTCAGGCCACTAAATGATTTTTTTTTGCCGTTACCTGTTAACCATAAACCTTGGTTAAAACTTCAGCTGCCTGGTCTTCAGTTACTGGGGCGTATTTAGTGAAAAAGGAAGTCTTGTCAATCACTTAAATCTAGCCCAAGGTGCCAGTTGTAGGGCTGCTTTACCTGTAACTACATTAGCTAAGGAAAACGTGGCAGAATGTGTCATTGTAGCACTTTCTAAAAGGGGATGTTCTAGCTGCTGCTTACTGACTGTCTCTGTCCCAGGATGTACACAAGAGTATTTCTGTGCTTTATCTAAAAAGAACTGTTGCTGTTTGTGCGGCACTTAAACCCTTTCAGCCATAGATTTTTTATGGTACCTTAAACTCTGTGTAGCATAGAGTCATAGAATTGTTGAGATTGGAAAAGACATCTAAGATCATCAAGTCCCACCATTACCACAGCACTATGCTGTTCACTTCTAAACTATGTCCCCAGGTGCCATATCCATGCCTTTTTTGAACACAGAATCACAGAATATTTGGAATTGGAAGGGACCCACAAAGATCATTGAGTCCCGACTCTTGGTCCTGCTCAGGACATCCCTGAGAATCACATCATGTGCCTGAGAGTATTGTCCAAACGCTTCTTGGACGCTGTCAGGCTTGGGGTTGTGACCACTTTCCTGGAGAGCCCGTTCCAGTGCCCATCTAGTTCTCTGGGTGTAGAACTTTTTCCCAATTACTAACCTAAACTTCCCCTGACATAACTTCAGACCATTTCATTTGGGTCCTGTCACTGGTTGCCAGAGAGATCAGTGCTGCCCCTCCAGTTGGCCCTCCTGAGGAAGTTGTATAAAGTGATGAGGTCTCCCCTCAGTCTCCTCTTCTCCAAGCTGGACAGACCAAGTGACCTCACCTGCTCCTCATACGTCTTCCCCTAAAGGCCCTTCACCATCTTCAGTGCCCTCCTATTAATAGCTTAATATCTTCCTTATACTGTGGTGCCCAAACCTGCACACAGTATTCAAGGTGAGGCCACACCAGCACAGACCAGAGTGGGACAGTTGCCTCCCTCAGCCAGCTGGTGATGCTGTGCCTGATGCAAACACTTCCAGGAATGGTGATTCCACCACTTCCCTGGGCAGCCTATTCCAATGTCTGACCACCCCTTCAGTGAAAAAAAAATTCCTAACAATTTATCTAAACCTCCCTTGGCACAACTCAGTGCTATTTCCTGTCATCCTATCTGACCCCGACCTGACTCCAACCTCCTGTCAGGGTACTAGTAGAGAGCAATAAGGTCCCCTCTGAGCCACCTTTTCTCTGGGCTAAACAGCCCCAGCTCCCTCAGCTGCTCCTCATAAGGCTCATGCTCCAGACCCACCACCAGTTTCCTTGCCCTTCTCTGGACACATGTCATGTGTTCTTCATAACTTCTGATTGGCACTGACTGCTACCTGTTCTGCTTTGTGTTGTTTTTTTCTTACTGATTTATTTGATGCCATGTTTTGTTTCTAAATGCCACCTTTATTCCCTTGCTAAGTCAGGAATGGGCCTGCCTTCTTACTGCTTTGGGGATCTCAGCTTTTTACCATCTGTTACATTCTTCATGAAAAGCTGTGAATATCTTTTTCTTTTCTTCCCCACATTTTAAATTACTGCATGTGCCGTAGGGAGTTGTGCAAGGTGCTAAACTCTCAGTCCCTATTGGCTTCTCTTTTGGGGGATCAATTAACAGGATAAGATCAGTAAAATACAGTTTTGTTTAAAGCAGTTTTGTCCATGTTTTCTACGTAATGCATGTATGAAGAAAAGTGCATTTTGTATTATCCTAGATCTATTTCAAACATGTCTAAAACATTTTATTTCCAGGATGATCTTAAAGCAACTTTAACAGCAAAGAACCGAGAAGCCAAGCAGTTGTCTCAACTGGAAAAGACACGTCAGCGGAATCCATCAGACCGACTCATTATTGTATCCTGTATTTCTAGTCACTGGGAGAAATGTGTTTAAAATTTCTTGGGAATTAAAGTGCTGTGTTTAGAAAACAGTAAGAAAGTAGTAGTAAGAACAATGCTCCTTAGAGGGACTGTTTGCTATGTTGACTCTTTTCTTAAACTTTATGATGAGTTACAGATTATAATAGCTTTGTTACTGCCTTTTGAATTGAAAAGAAACTATATATTATTTGATGTGTTTGTGCAAGAGGTGTAGACATAGATTGCATCTAGGAATTCAGAAGTTTTTGAAAAAAGTGTAATCAGACAACTTCTTTATTTCTGTGGATTTATTGTTTTAATGTTTTTCTCTCTGTCATTTTGGTAGTTGTTGTGCTACCTTGTACCTAGATGGGGTATGAGTTTCCTCCAGCTGCATGATGAAGTATGGAAGGAAAAGTTGTTATTCTGTTAGTAGAATATTCAACCAGACTACTCTTCCTTTCCAAAGACCAGTAGTCCCTCCCCAATACACTATCCTGTATGGCAGAGGGAAAAATTAAGCCTCCACAGAATTTCCATTGAAATCCCATTGAAGTTTAAATTCTGAAGCAATCAGAATCTAGAAAATGCCAAAATAGAGGGGATCAAGGCAATCCTACTTCAGTCCTTTTTGCTACATGTTATGAGCATGTACATTTAAGTTCATGATGATGTGCGGTTTATTTTTTATTGCACTCTAGTGTTGGACTCAGGAACTAAGCCATACTATTCTTTGTTGGATTTTATCAACTTTATTTCAGAACTTAGGATCTTTCTGGTGGCTGGAGTATGGCCATGACTGCAGAAAGGGTGAAAGTGATTGTGATGTTCCAATACCACACAGGAGAATTACATTTTATTTTTGTCTCTGCCAAAGAATTCCCATTTAATATTAATCAAATCTGTTAAAGCAAGTGATGCCTAATTAGAATTCCTCATGTAATAAAGACAGATGCATGTCAGCTGTAGCGTTAGAACTTCAGCTATAATGTGAAGTTCTCTTCCCTTCTTTAAGGGAGTAAATGATAACAACAAGCTGTTCTCCACAAAGGGAGACTGGTCCCACTTTTCTCCCTCATAGGCTAATTCCCATTTGATTTCATGGATATGTCACTTCCACTTAGTTCATTTCTTCTTACCTCTTTGCTAAACTTCTCCCAAATACCCTTCCGTGGCTTAGCTTCTCATAACACCTGTGTTTTCTGTACTTAAGGCTTTGCCTGAAGAGTTATAAAATCTGAGTACAGTCTGGTTTTGCATATGGCCAAAGGCACCAAACGCTGTGTATTTGCATTTTAAAGTGATTGGCACAAAATGCATAAAAAATATTGGGAGCAGGAGTATGTTCATTTGATTTTGAGGACGTGTGCAGGTCAGTTTTCAGGTCTAGAGAGGCTTCACAGCATTAGAGCACAGCAGTTTGGCTCCTGCAGTGGTTCTCTCATTCTGGAGCAACTGTGATGTTGCAGCAGCAAACAGGTTTGGCCACAGGCAGCAAAGGATCTGTACTCACTCCCATTTTGTACAGCCTTGGGGGTAGTACAGCTTTGAAAAGAAAATATTACCAGATTTTTAAAAATAAAGAAGTGCATTTTTTATAATCAGAATTGATTTTTTTCTCTGCCCAGGTTGACTGATTTAATTTTTATTTTTAACTAAATAACCAAGTCGTCAGCCCAAGACAAAGAGCTGCCTTGAAATGCTTTGGCCTGTATACTTCAATCCTCTCAAAGCTGTAACAAACTGTAATGTCTTAGAGCAGGAAGCTTCAGACAAAATAATAACAGTATACAGAAGCTTTGAAATAACTAATGTAGTTTGCAGTGTACTAAAAGTAGAAGTGGAAATGGATACTTTCATGAATATTGATTGTTACGTTGCCATTTGTTCCTTTACTAATATTTCCAGTCACAGGTGAGTGTTCAGAAGAGAAAATGTGAAACTGCTGTTATGCAAACCATGCGGTCCTGGAGTTCAGACATTTCACTTCACAACAAACAGAATTACTTCCCCAAAGCACGCACACACCAAATTTGGCCAGTCTATTTAAGATGTGTTGAGAAGATATGATTTGATTATCATAGAAAGAACATGCTGTATTTCTGTGTGTAATGGCTGCTTATGCCTAACAGCTTCAGGCACAGAGAGTGACTGATTGAACTAATTGAGAATACACAAAATGTCTTTTCTTAATCTGTTTCCCTCCTGTGTTTTGGGCAAAATCAAGAAAGAGATGAACATGTGACCGTATGTACTGCTCAAGATCGTTACCGATACTGTTTGCCCAGTAATGGCAGAGTTGTGTCTGTGACTTTAAGCTGGTTTTGGAAGGAGATTGTTTTAGGTTGATAATCCTGTAATGTCACCATATTGTAATCAATTAAGTGGCAGATCATGCCTTATGCCTTGGATTTCCATATATGTAACACTAAAAACTAGATCATGGGAACTGAACCTGTGGTGTCCAGTTCCATTTTTTAAAAAAATTCCTCTCAAGTTGCAGTTTTGTAGAAATGGGAAGAATCCTACAACTGGATCATAGGATACAATACTTGATCCATAGACTATTTCCAGATCTCAGGACAAAATAGATTTGTGATGATGCTCACCAACCTGTAAGTATCACTAGTATATGATGTTTGACCAGTAATGTATGGAAAATAACACAAGTTTAGACCCAAATTTTGCAGTCTTCAAGTGCAGCCTCTTATATCTTTCGACCATTGTTTGTTAAGACTACACAGTTCTCAGACTTAACCAGAATAGCCTGAATGTCTTTATTTAAATGGTAGTGTACATTTTCATAAAGTTCATAATTATATCTAATTAACTATCTAAAAATGCTTTTTGTAGTAAGAGAATAAGAAAAACGGTGTATTTGTGCATTAGGGGTTGGTGGATGTGTCCCCTTCCCAGTGCCCCATTTAAGATGTTTTTTATAAAATACTTTAATAATACAAAATTACTAAAAATACAAAATACCTGAAATGCTTTTTGATCTAAAAATTACAGTGACTCTAGCCTGCAGATTGAGATATTTACAGGAGAAGTGCATGAGTTCAGCTGCTCCTCTGTCTGAATATTTTATAACAACTTACTAAGACAAGATTCAGCACAGGACACTGGAAAAGATTCCTTCTGGACTTAGCAGGTTGATTTGCACTCTAAAACAAAGGGTGATCTCTTCAGCTCACCTACTGCTCTGGGCTGTGCACTCCTGTCCTCTCCTTTGCACCAGCTTAAAAACCCCCCGAAACGTTTCTGAAGGGTAAACCCTTGTGCTGGGGTAGGTCCCCGAATGCAGTCCCTGTTGTCAAGGGGGGGTCAGGACTGGCTCAGTAGAATTAGCAGATGACTTTCCTGAGTGGCTGCAGCTTTCATTTTTCATGTTTCACATCAAAGTCACAACAGTGTAGAAAGCATCTTCATTTGTTTATTAAGCTACAAATTTACAAATACTGTAACACAGATGCCTAGTGTTTTGAAAACCTGAACTTAAATGTTTTCATGGCAATTAGAGCAAATATCTTTGTATCGAATACAAGACTAATTTCACCTTTGTGTTACTTTACCAGGCTGAAAGTGAACTGCAGAGAGCAACACTGGATGCTAATCGAACAACTCGGCAATTAGAGGAAACCATTGATAATTTTGAGAAACAGAAGATAAAAGACATCAAAGTATGTGTCACATTTTAATAGGTGACATCACACTTCATCCTGCATAATAAAATTACTCTAGTTAGGCTTAGGCAAGATTAGCAACATTTGATACTGACTTTAAATGCAAGTAAGTCCCAAAGACTATAGTGACTGAAAACCACTTGCATTATGTGATCTCATTCAATTATAAAATTGCATTAGTGACTTTGGGACGTGTGGGTGAGGACACGGACAGATTAAACAGAAAAGAATGAAAGATAGTTGAAAAACCCAACCAAACCAGCCAGTACTTGATATTAGAGTAATATGAAATAGGTGGTGAGCTCCGAAGATGTCATCATTGTGGGGTTTAATACATAAATTATATTTTATTAGGTAAAATATACAATTATCTGTATATACATATAGAATTTACAGATAACTCATCCCCAACCTATTATAAAAGATTGTCTTCAATAAAGCAAAAATCTACGGACTACATCTTGTAAATGCACATTGGGGATTATTAAGTGAGTTCTCAGCATGACAGGTTACTCCTAATGAGTCTCCTCTTTGCTTTTCAAGCATTTACTTAGAATTTATTATGGAATAATAACTGCATAAGTGAAAGTCCAGCCAGCATTTGTGTTCAATTTCTAAAATTCAGGTCTGACTGCTTAGAAGTACTAGCTATTGTGCAGTTGCTTGTATCATATAAATGCTAAGTGCAGAAATCAGTAATTTTTTGAAGTGGAAATGTATTTTACTGCATTAAGAAAACCTTTGTTTTCATTTGTTTTTAGAATATATTTTCTGAATTTATAACTATTGAAATGTTATTCCATGGGAAAGCTTTAGAGATATATACTGCTGCCTACCAAAATATCCACAACATTGATGAAAATGAAGATTTGGAGGTAAGAGTGGTAAAAATTTCCTTTTCAATTTACTTCCTACATAAAAACAGTTTTCACACTTCAGGCCTATACCTGTCCCAAGCAGAAAAATGTAATATATGTCTCAGGTTCCCAGGACAGACTTCTTGTGTATACTAGGCCTTCTTTTTTTGTACTTCTCCAGCAAGAGCATGCACGTTTATAAACTCAGGGACTTGGCAAACAGAGAACAACTGTGGTGGCAATCTCACCTTTCTCACAAAACACAGATAAGAGACTTTTCCAGAATTACCTGCCACTCCAAGCTGAGCTAATCATAGTTCCCAAAGAACAGCTCTGCAGTGAATCTTGCTGTAAAGATGTACATAGAGAAAATCTTACACTGTGCTGATAGGATGTTCTAAAGACTTACTACTGCATTAAAAATGTCTCTTCTTTCTATTGAGTTTTGTTTGCTTGTTTTCATCTTTCAGTCATTGTTTTTTATTGGGCTGTTCTAGAATTTGTTACAAAATTGCTTTTTTGCCTTGTGGCAGTTACACCTTCAAGCACCCTTTCTGTTCTCTTTTGAGTTGTCCTGCTATCCTTTTTTCATTCTTGCAGTTGTTCTGGATGTCGGGCCTTTAAGCTTAATATCATTGAAATGTATGTTGTGTATGTATGTTCAGCTTGTCAAGCAACTTGAAACATTCTCAGTCTTTTTTTGTAAATCCTACCAGTCCTAACTTTATTTTGTCTGTGACATAGCCTAGGAATAAGGATGGCAGCATTCAGATAGTGCAAGACATAAAAAAGTCATGATTCTTCAGTGACAGTCACAGTTGAGACTACCTGGTAATTTTACTTCATTTAAACTGTGCCATGTCAATTTTGTACTATTCTAGTTTCACAATTAAAATCTCATGTGGCACCAATTCAGAAATATCCTTGAAGTCAATACTTTCTTTCACAACTAAATTGCTAATCTAATTTTAAATTTCCTGTTATTGGACAATTACTTACTTTCCATAAAAATACTGTCCATAATTTACTATGGTCCTTAACTTTATTAATACGTCTTGCACAAATAACTTTATTGGTATTGAAAATAACTTGCAAATATAATGGATATTACAGTATCCCCTGTATTCTAAGAAGTTTCCCAAATTTTCTTGAGCTGTACATCTCCTGAATATTTCAAGTAAAACTTTTGATGCAGCTGTGACAACAGCAAGGATTTGCTTTGTGATGGGGCTAAGAGTTTACCTTTCCAAGAAACAGCCTGAAGGGGGTTCACACCTCTAGGTTAGCCTGAAACTCAGAAACAGCAGTTTTCCATGTGTAAATGCCCTCGGATCTCTGAAGAATGTTTACTGTGACCACCTAACTCTGTTGATGTGTCTCTGGCTGAGAAAGGCTGTTGTTCCAGCTAAAAGTGATCAAACTACAGTTGACACGTATCTCTAGATCAGGTTTCATTGTCCAGTGCTGCATTTCTGCTGTTTCCATCTTGGTGGTTCTTGGCTTGCAAGCTGTACCATGGCACCTAAGTCACAACTTCCTTCATTTCAACAGGTTTTTAGGAGCTCACTCTATCCACCAGACTATCAATCTCGTTTAGACATAGTTCGTGCAAATTCCAAGTCCCCTCTGCAGAGAACTGGCTCTTCCAAATCTTCACTGAGGACAGTACAGGTAAAAAAGAAAAATTAAATGCTAGATCACTGCATTAAAGCTCTACTTAAGATAGTCTTTTAGCTAATGTGCATGGATCCACTGTCTTTACTCAGGAGAGTCAGAAAGGTAAAGAAAGTTCTAAGGGCATAAATACCATATTAAGCTCTTAATAATTCAGCTTCTAAATATCATTTGAGAAAAAAAAATCAGCTTGTAAAGCTGTGTTGCTTACTTTTGAAAAATGTCACTTTCTTCCATCAACAAACTGTGGCATCTTGTAGAGAAAAGATCTATGAGCTTATTTGAAAAAGAAGTGACATTTTTTAAATAACACATATTCTTAGTCTCAGTATCTAGAGTGTGGATTCTCTATCAGATCTTAACTCAGATTAGTGATATCTCCTAACAGCACAGCAAACCCATGGCCAACAGACCTTTCCTTTTATACTCTGAAAATTCAAAGCAGGTGAGGAAAAGGAGGGTGATAAAAACGAGTGAAAAGGATGGAGACAGTGCCATTGTTTTTGGACCAGCTACATTGCAAAAATCTTTGGCATTTGTTTTCAGCAGTAAACCTGCAGATATTGCAAAATGGCTAAATTATATTTATTGCAGCCATAATCCTGTAACTACAGTGATTCTTAGCAGTGTTTCAGTTAAAAAGAAAGCCAGATTTTAAATGTACATATCTCGCTTTTCTTCTTTGGATGGAATCATGCATCAGTATTGTAATAAGGAAAAGTTTTCTTGACTTCATACAGACTTTACACCTTCTCTGCTCTCAACACAGAAAGTATCAATTATCACAGTTGAGTTATTCTGTTGAAAGTATGAGTTGCCATCTGAAAAGATAAAAGAACCTCGTGGTTCAAAGCATGAAGTACAACCTTGACCTTGAGTAACTTGTCAGTCCTCTCTATCAGACATGCAAATCTCACATTCAGGCTACTTCAGAAAATGTGAGGAAAAAAACCCAAAACAAGAGAAAACTGAGTGTATATACACTGTGATTTCTCCCACAGATTGAGTGGAACTCTGTTTTTACTAACTTGCAGGTTTGCCTGTCTCTTCTCCTAGACCTCTCTTGGTTATAACTTCAGGTGCTAATGTTCTGGTAACCTCTCACTGAAGTATCTATAAAGAACAGGAAGGCATCTAGACTTAGAGGGAAACTGCAATACTTTCAAAATAATGTCATTTTACTTAGCCAGTAAGATGACTTGGCTTGCAACAGTTCCTTGCTCTGTATCTGCAGAGGAGGATCAAATGGCAGAAAAAGGGGTGAACACCCCACTAATGCAGTCACTTCAGGGCAGTGAGGAGCAGTCTGTTCTGCACACCCCCCATACTGCCCCTTCTGAAGCTGTAAATAGTGTGTTGTTGAATTACACTAAGGGCTCTAATCTGTGGAACATCTTAGGAGGAAAAAAAATGATGTATTTACAAAAACCTTCAGGTGACTTGTTTTAATCTTCTCTGTGGATCTTTCACTCCCAAATTTTTCACACATCTACTTTCCTGGTACAGAGTAATCCTTTAGTAACCGTAATGCAGTACTTTGCACTTCCCAATTTAAAGCAGTATAAATATGGATATCAGTTCACAGAATCACACAGTCTAAGGCTATGGCTTGGGGGAGGACAGACAGACACAAACACTAACCTCTAGGTGGGGGGAGGTGTGGGAAGTCACTGCATACCAGATGGGATAAACTGTGCCAGTAACACAGTTCTGGTCTTTCAGAGGATTTAACACTTAAGCATCCTGGAACTTATTTCTGGTTCTGTGGACTAACTTTCTGTGTTATTTGTATGTTAAAACATCTAAAGTACTCTTTGAGCTTTAAGACCTACCTCCTCATTTTGCACTTTCTTGGAAATTTGTCATCAGCATTTCGTTTCACTGATTCAGGTTGTTATGCTGTATTTTAGAACTGTAGCAGGAGAGAATGACCTTATCCAGATATTTTTAATCAAAGCTAAGTACACCAGTTTTATCTACAGGCATTTAATCTAACAAACTCTCTCGAACTGGCTCTTTAAGGCAAGAAAGTATGGCTTTAACTGTTACTGCCAATGCCTGCATCCGACACCAGGAGAGGATTACCATGCTTGCTGCTGCAGCGCCTGCAGTGAAACCTGGAGCTGAACAGCTTAAGCAAGGACAGTCACCACCTACATGCAAACTCACAGAACTAATTTTTACATAAAATTATTCATGATCAACAAATTGTCAGATTCCATTTTTTTTCAGCATTAAATAATCAACAATTAAATTTTCAAGTATTGATATGTTCCGGCTCTATGGCAAAATAGCATGGATTTAAACTGTTTGATTTTCTTTCTCACTTTCCTTACTCTGATCCAGTTTGGTTCTTAGGATAGCCTTACTTATATCTTACGATCACCAGTGATAATATTTAATGTACTCTTTAGTTAATTACAGTATGGTCAGAGGTATTTAGGTAATGAGCAGGAAAAAGCCATAAAGCCAAAACACGCCTCTTATTTAGGAAAGGTGAAGGGGGAGCTTTTCTTCAGAAATATGATGCAAGTTGCCTAAGAATTTCAGATACTCTTAACTAGAATGAAATAAAAAGCTGGAAAATTAGTCTGTCCCACTGAAATGAAGCCACCTTAACAGGCTCAATCTGCAGCATTCCTCAGTCTCCAATTACAAATTAGTGCCATTGTCTTTCTCTTCTGTCACAGAATGAGAGATTGCTGTTTTAGGCATTTCAACTCAAGTTAACCCAGCTTCATCCAATGATTAACTCCATTTTCTGTTATGCTCAGAGATTTGTAAGCAAGTATTTGCTTCAAGCTAAATTACGTACTTTGCGAGAATCAACAAGACTAAGGATTTTTCTGCTTTCATTAGTTCAATGATTGCAGTTTGCTTTATGCACACACAAAAAACTTGTGTTACATACGTGGCTGTATTAATTACAACATCTCAGAAGTCAATTTAATAATGAGCATTTAAGGACTTTTAAAATAGGGGAAGCTTTGTCTTCAATACAGAAGTTTGATTATATCACTGTATGTGAGAAAACACAGAAAATACAAGCTGCAGATGCCCTTAGAGAACTTCTGAACCTGAAATCATTTTTCAAAAGCATTCTAGATGACTTGGATAACTATCTTTAATGTTCTCCTTCTCATAGAGAAAGAAAAAAAACCCCATATATTCTACTTTAAATTGTAAATGTTGCCTCTTCTGTGAAGAATCTCTTCAATAGGAATTAGATTGAGCCCTCATTTGAAAGAAGTACAGATTGCAGAATCTGTCAAATGAGATGAAAGCTTGGCAGCTGCCACTTGTTTTTAACGTTTGGTGAACCAAAAAAGGAGACTACAGTGTCATTTTGAAGGGCAAACACTGATGGGCAGGGAAAGAAGTTCATCTGTGCATCAAGACTCTGGTAGTAAAGTTTGTCTAAGGCATTCTCAAAGAAAAAAAGCTTAGAGCAGCATAATTTGGAGCCTTAAACTGACGAGGTCTGATGTTTTCAAGGTAAGTTTAGGCCCTAATACTCATCTTCAGCCTATCGTCTCAATGGCCAACACAGGAAAAAACTGACTTGGATCTTGTTGATTTTTAACATTAATTGGATCAAAGTGTAGTTTCCCCTATCCTACAATAGTTTTCAGGGCCATGGCGATTTTTTTTTAGCTTTCAAAAATCATTACTGTATTTTAATTCCGTGCCATATACCTCTATTGGTGTGCATGTTACTAGAAGTTGAAGGGTTAAGGGATAAACAACTTACCCCTCCCCCAAATGAAAACCTTCCTAAAAAGTATTTAGACTAGAAATGCCAGAATTGCTTTTCTTTCGGGAGAACAAACACTTGATTTCCATTGGATTTTTGTTTTATCAGATTTCCCGCAGTATGCTAAGAAAAGACGAAGAAGAAGAGGAGGAAGATGAGGAGGAGGAAGAGGAGGAGGAGGAGGAATTGGATGGTACTAAGGAAGTGAGATAACAAAACTGTTCTAAGAAGATTTTTTTGTATTTAGAGGAAAGAAAATCCCTTTATGTAAAGGCTTTTGTGTCTTAATCAAAAATGTCACCAAGGCTATGTATTTAAAATTCCAACGGGAGCAAGAAGCGGCACCCATTCTAGAGTGCCAGACAACAAATGACCAGTTTCAAAAATTGGAACAAAATCTGCTGAAAATGGACAATTTCAGTAGCTAGCAAATGAAATGTTTAAATAGAATTCTGTATTATATTGCATAGATGTTATATTGCGGTCACATTGCTTAAACTTCCATGAACAGTGTCCAAAAACTGCACTAGGCTGACAAGGAGTTGTGAACATAAGGGTTTGCTTGCTACTTTGCCAATACATTACCTTATTCTCTTGTGACATACCTCTTGAATTTAGTAGTTTCTCTAACTGTACCTGTCATCATTGGCTTTATACATCCTAAGAAACTGTTTGCAGAAACAACCTGTTGGGAGTTCAGTGTGTTACCCACCGCTGGATGGCAGAAGGCAGGGTGTGAGGTGTATTGTTTCCTCCTTTTCATTTTCCTCAGGCTTGACTAAGATGACTTGATTCGTTTACACATACAGAATGAATACTCACAAATAAGGAGTGAGCCCAGTATCTACTTTTAATGCTGCTTTGCTTTTAAATAAAGTGCCTTCATAATAAAACTAGTTGATACTTTGTATAGTTGATGTTTATTATATTAGTTCACGTGCTATATACAGTTCAAATTTCATGTGCAGCTACATGATTCAGTTACCGAGTCCAAACATAAAAGAAATTACACATTTTAAGTGTAACTTCTTAATCCTGTCTGGGGATGATGGTTACACATGTTAATTTTTGAATAGTTACAGTTGTCTGCCGAAAGCTGCTACCACAGTTCAGCTTTAGTATCTGCTAAAGAATGAATGCATGGAGAAATCTAGGATCTAAATTTGCAACTGGAAAAATAATTTTAAGCTATAACCAAACGTTCTTTCAGTTATGGAATAAAGCAGGAAGTACATTTTTAATGTTGGTACTGCCTGTGTCCACTGATGCCAAGTATGCAATGCACACTTCTTATGACATGTAAAAAAGAAGTTTTACCAAAACCTAATGTGATGAAAATGTAAGTGAAAATGTCTCAATACAGATTTCAGTTTTAAACCCGGAAAATAATTTTACACCAGCATTACGTACTATTGACGTTGTGCAAGGAGCAAAATGCCAATGATGAAACCTTTTAAAGTATCTAGGTAATTAATTCCCATCGATTTCAGCAACTGAGGCACTTCAGTAAAATATCTGTATCACAACACCAGATTTCTGGTGATCACTTTACCATGTCATACTCAGTACAGTAGTCAATCTCCAGAACAGATGGCTAACTTCATAACAATACCAGGTCTTCGTGTACCATACATACATGCAAATAGCAGTTATTTCTGCACTATGCCTTAAGAAAGAAATGGTGAAAAAGGAAGCAGTGTTTAGATTAATTCCCTCCTAAAAGATTAATACCTAGGGTACAGAAAGGTATTTTTGTTTTTCTCAGCAGCTTCAAATTCCTTCTCCCTACCTCACAAAAAAGTCAACTTCAGGAATTGCAGAAAACTTCCAGAAAAGGGGAAATAGAGTGTTGGGCAACTTTGTCCTGCATGTATGATGTCTTAGGTTTGCATGTTGCACAGAAATTGTGTGACCTTGAAACTATAGATAAAAAGTCCCTGACTGAAATACTTTAAAGCCGGAAGAATTTAGATTGTAATTACAGAATTAAATGTTACCTAAAGATACTTTTGCAAAGATTTTTCTCATGGCACGAGTGCTTACTCCAAGACTGACATACACCATCCGCTTGTGTATTTTTCACTACTGACACCTAAATTATGCAGGCTTGTGTCCATCTTGCCAAGAGTGTTTTGCCACTGCACATTCCTTTGGGACTAAAGGTTATCTTCCTGTGCTCATCAGGCTGTCCTGTTACAGCTTTCCTGAATGCCTCAACCTGCTTTGGTATGTGACCATTATTTCCAGTTGTTGACAACAGAGACTGTTCTCCTTTACATCAGAATTTTTGGACAATGGTAGCAAAATCAACTTCAGAGAAGGATTAACTAAGGAAACTTGCTATGTTTAATATCAACATCATGAACTGCAGCATTTCATTTATTGTTCTTTTACCATATGGATGGTACTTAAAAAGGAAGAACAGTATTTCAAGCTGTGTAATTACAGACTGTCTCTGATTTGTCCTTTATGCTGAAAGTACAATGCCTCCAAACCATTAGCAAAATCAACTTCAGAGAAGGATTAACTAAGGAAACTTGCTATGTTTAATATCAACATCATGAACTGCAGCATTTCATTTATTGTTCTTTTACCATATGGATGGTACTTAAAAAGGAAGAACAGTATTTCAAGCTGTGTAATTACAGACTGTCTCTGATTTGTCCTTTATGCTGAAAGTACAATGCCTCCAAACCATTACACATCTAAGGTACTGGCATTTCCTGCCCCATTTCCCTACGCTTCAGTTCATCTGTACATACTTTACAGCACAGCTTTTGTCTTTATAGATCTTGAAAAATTAATTCTTTGTTTGGCCTCCAAGTTTGAAATCTCCTGTTGTGTAGTAGCTATAAACTTTAAAACCAACAAATCATCTAAAGCTGATTAACTGGAGCAGTTAGTTGCATTCACATCTACAACACAGCTCAGCAGTAAGCATGTTAGCTTACGCAAATAATCAGAGTGAAGTTCTCAACAACATTATAAGGTCAGGGAAGTTTTATTTTGAGGATTCTCATGTCTTTATTTTTCCTGCAAAGTCTCCTGGCTCTTTGACCTCTTTTATAGTAGCTATCAAATAAAAGCACAAGCTTTTTGGGTTTTATTTTAATTCCCTTTACATTCAGAGGAGGATTCTAAACCACATGCTTCTGAAGCCATCTCCTACCAGATAGCAAGAAAAGGTATGTTAAGTGTTCAGAATTTGAAAACTTGGCCACATCTGTTTGTTTCCTCAGAGGAATCTACATATACAGACTTGGCGATATAAACAAAAACGCTTCTTTCCTCACACTTAAAACAGTGGATAAGGCATTTGCAAAATAAATAAAGCAACACTAACCTTTTTAAAATTATAGAAAAAAACCCCATTCTCTTCTAAGTTTAGCAGTGATGATGACTTTACACATACAAAATAATTAAGGTTTGAGCATCAGGGAAGAGGTGATCGGTCACTGGAACAGGCTGCCCAGACAGCCCTGTCCTCAGAGCTATTAAACATCCAGTGGACGAGACCTTGAGGAACCTGTTCCAGATGACACTGCTTTGAGGAGGGGGTGAGATTAGAGAACTCCCTACTCTGTGCATTTATGATTTTTTGGTATTGCCCAAGCAAAGGTGGAAAGTTTTTACTGCCACACTGTAACTTCATTGTTGGTTTGAAGGGAATAAGACATGTAAAATTCTTCAGTACTCCAAATACTATCCTGCACAGTTGCAGTGTCACAAAAAGTCCTTAGCCACACAACCAAAGTTTCCTACTCAGCCTGAATTTTGAAGATGCAGCTTTTCCAGGCTAGCTTTTATTTCTTCCTAAAATTTAAATGTGCTGGTACCAAACCATTCAAAGCATTCTACATACTGACATAAGCATTTATGTTCCGACATAAGAACATAGCATAGTTGGTTGTCAGATTTTTGCCAGTGACAGATGTTAGTTACAACTAATCGGAGATTAACCTGGAATGCATCCAGACATCATTAGCAAGTTGATATTATGGACATGTGGAGATATAACAACGATCACTGAAGTCAGAATTCTTGACCTAATTAAAGCATTCCTTTTCTGCCTCAAGGTACTACAGTCAGCGAGAAGAAAGCCTGTCCAGCTGATTAATACAAACCCTGCAATCTCTGCAAACTCCCCATTCAGTTTTTTTTTTACTCTTTCCAGAGGAAGCAGCCAGCATCATTCCCACTGAGACCCACATCTGCTGAGCATAGTAATTGAGACCATTAACTACACAAGTTTTAAAGATAAGACACATTTAAATGACAATCTCCTTTTTATTTCAAAAAGTTGCAAAGCCAACTAATGTGAACAGGAAGATCTTTTTTTTCTTCTTTTAACAGGGATGCCTCTGAACACATGAAACCGCATAAAACCTGAAGTTTACACAAAAACAAGCCCCCCAAAAAAATCAGTAATTTAAAAAATTTTATTCAGCTAACCTCAGTAAGAAGTGTTATTTACTAATGCAGGTAGCACTGAAAATCTTCTATTTGAACCGTTTGTGTGGTCAATCAACCAGCACTTACATTTTTATCTGATGCAAAGACAAGGGACATGGAATAAAAGCAAACTAAAAAAAAACCCCGAAGCATTACAACTCCATGTCTTTATGCCTTGATGTGTGACATTCAGTGTCCTACAGATACTTCAACCAAGAGCTAAAAAAATGAACTGGGTATTATTTACAACCGCTAATGGAAACTGTTTCTTTTGCATCTTCCAGTAATTAAAAAAGTTAAAATAACTGTCAATACTGTCAAACCTAGAATGTCTTTATATATAGAGCATCTTTCCCTCCTTTACAGTAAGCTCAACTTAACCTTCCGTTGACCAATGGGCCTATCATTCAGTTCATTAATAGCAGCCATAGCTTCCTCATAGTTTGTCATAGCAACAATGGCATCACCAGAAGGTAATCCTTGTTCATTGTACTGTACAGAAACTGACTCTGGTATCACTCTGTAGCCATAGAAAAAGTCCAGAATCTCATTAGGAGTAGCTTTAAAAGGTAAATTTTTCAACCGAATAGGAACAACACGTTCAGAACCACCACCAAAGTTTGGATCTGGCATAAACCTTCCTTCAGGAAAATTTCCCATTTTATTATTCCCAAACTCCATTCTGCCAAAAGGTTCACTGTCACCACCAAAATCCATGAGTGGTGGTGGACCTCTGAAATCCTTAGGAGGGCACATGAAGT